CATCTGTCAGGTGGCCAAAAGGGGGTTACGGGTGCAATGTTGGTCTGACTTGCTGTGGAAGGGTACAGAGGAAACATTTGGTCTTGCATGGATAACGGTTGTACTTGGCTGAGGTTCACTCCAGCAGGGGAATAGCTTGTGCGCAGGAAGGTATAGAGCAGGGAAGAGAGTTTAGAAGGAAAATCTCCTGCTGAGGGTGTAGGGAGTTTAGCTTTTTATCCTGGGAATACCTGCCCTGGAGGGCAGGATCTGGCTAAGAGTGGTAAGATTGTTTTTCTGTTGGGTCCATGCAAACTTGTGCTGAAGAATCATTCTGAGATTCCTTCACAATGAGGATACTAAATAGAAAGGATGAGTTGGAGAATCATTGCAAGAAAAGACCTTGGAAATGCATCCTCATCAAAGGAGATCAGGTTGGCTATTATAAGGCCATGCATTACAAAGAAGTCAGCTACAGGTGATACCCCAATAATTCCTCAAATCCCTTTACACATATGCTCCTCAAAGGAGGAAAGGAAATTCTGTGTGAGGGGCATCATCTATGAGCGCGAGTGGTAGCCAGGGACCAGCATTGCTGCAGCAGGAGTACGGATGTGCCATGTGTGGATGGGTGCAGGTGGTTGAACGCACACTGAGAGCCACGTTCCACAGCCAGGAACTGCCAAGCACTGCCAAGGTCTTGCTCCTGAGCCTTCCTCAAGGCTCTGCCGTTGCTAAAACCTCAACCAACACCTTTTTGCATCCTGCCTGGTCCACAGCCCTGGGTCCTGCCTGGCTAAATGCTGAGGGATGGGGAGTAAGCAGGCACTGTTTCTGCACCGTGCTGTTGTTTCCCTCTGGCACCAGGTTAAAAGAAGGGTTAACCACAGCACAGAAGGACCACACTGGTTTTCCTGCCACAAAGACTCTTCCCAGCCATGGAGGTGAGGAGATGCCCCAGATACGATCATGCAGTCCAAACTATTTAACAGCTCTGATGAAAAACAATTTCTAAATTCAGCCATATCTTCACATAGGAAAAGATCCCACAATGTCAATTTAAAAAAAAAAAAAAAAAGAAGAAGTCACAGGAGCCTGGGAGGATGATTTAAGTTTGTAGTATGGGTGCCCTGCTCATGAGAAAGCCAGCTGCTGAGTGCCCCTGAGATGAGCTCAGCTTGCAGACTGGGGTGCAAACTTCAGGCAAAAGCATTTGCTGTTGGCAGGGTAACACCGGCGTGCTCCCCTCTGCTGCTCCATTTTCACTTTTGGACAATATTTTTCCACCTCAGTGATGATAATTCCCATATGTTGTCCTGCATTTATTAGGCCACCTTTGCAAACAGCTCTATCTGTGAGGCAGCATCTGCGTGATGGCCTCAGTCCTTCCCTGCAGAGCTCAGCATGAAGAAGGCTGAAAATACCGCCCGTTTGCCCTCCTTCCAAAGAAATAACTGCTTTTGTTCTGTACGCTTTGAGGGTTGGTAATAAATAAATAAGATAGAAACAAATTACTTTTTAAAAGCTTTCAAATGGAAAGAAAAATCCGGTGTATCACAAACATGTTACCACTTAGTTTCTGATCAAAACTGTTAGCGAGGACAAAGTGTTCTGTCTTACAATGACCAGCCATCAGTCACCCCTACAGGCCAGCCCAAGGACATAACTGCCAGCTTGACTCCGACTGGGTCTGAGGGCTCCGAGGTGAAGTTCAGCACAAGTTTATTCATCTGGCTGGAGCCACAGGAACTCAACATGGGGAAAAAAGTGTGCTTCCCCAAGTGGTAGTATTAAAGCATTTGGAAAAAGGAAAATATTCCTTGAGTGATGGCACCTTACTGAACAATGGGCATGACAGCTTGGAATATTAAAGCAGCATACATTTGCATTTAAAACAACCATTACCTGCATTTTTTTTAACTTGGGATAAAATTTAACATGTCATTACAATTGATTTAGGCAGTACTGAAAGCAAATTAATTAACTGTGGTATTCAAGGGTCAAAAATGTATAGTGAACAATATAAAGGGATAAGGAAGAGTAAGCTTAAGCAGCATGGAATATAGACTTAGAGGTTATTGTTATTTAATATGTATCATGCTAATATATGTGCCTAATATATGTTTAATTCATTGTGTCTGTAGTCTTATAAAAATCTGGGTATGTCACAAATAGATGAGAGATGCTATGAATGAGCCACGACACTGTTTTCTAATTTCTTCCCCCTGGGCAATTGCTGTCCCTAAAAGCAAACGTGCATCCATAGTGTGTTGTACGTTAGCAGCTGCTGTCATTTCTGCAATCAAATAATGAGAGACAGGTGAGGAAAATGGCTTAAGATTGAGTATGATAGATGAAAAACTTCCAGAGAGGTAGGATTTATCAATCCTTTCTGCTGGGCAGGGGAGGAGAGACCTTTCTTGCTCTCAGAAGTGGAGCAGGAAGCAAGGGAGGAAAGGCTGAACTGCCCCTGCACGTAGAATATGCTTTCTCTGCAATGCTAAGGATGAGATCTTTTCCTGCTGCAGAAGCTACTTCAGCCAGAACTCCAAGCTGGGCCGCAGAGGACTGGCAGCTGAAACACCTACCTGGGAGAAAACACTCCTGGTTCATGGGTCACCTGTCACCAATCCCTGGCTGACACCAGGATGTCAAGCCTGCCACTGAAGGCCACACAGCCCATACAACCTCTCTCGCGGCAACTCGGTTAGCAAGTGGCCTCCTCTCTTTCCCATGGCATGGGAAGACCACGGAGGAAGGGGCTTTCTAGGCTCCAGCAGCTGATGGACAAACTCACAGCCACTGCCCGGAGGGTGTGTGGAGGCCCTGGGGAGCAGCCAGCCCATCTGCCCAAAGCCGTATAGCCCTGCTGCCTGGCAGTACACAAGATATCCATGCCATGGACGGGGTTGGGGCAGGAGGGGCACTGGGATTGCATTCACTGCCTTCTCTCAATGCTCTCCACAGCATCCACCTATTCCCAGAAATGACTTATTTTGCAAACAGATCTATTTCTCATCATAAACAAACACACAAACCAACTTTAGTTGTCTTTCATTCATCATCCTTGTTATCCAGTTCTTTCCCAGGAGAGCGAATATTTACAAAACACTCCAACAGTTCCCCTTCCAACTCAATTGCATCATCCTTTTACTAGAAGTATGCATACTGAGGTACCAAAAAGCTACAGAGCTTGTTAAACAGCACTAGGAAAACTGGGATTTGTTCTGCAGCTCCCACCTGTCACCCTCCGGAGGCTGTAGAGGGAATCTTTACGATTGCACAGGACAGCCAAACCAAATGATGTGTGCTCTGGACACAAAACAGGGACCTTTTCTGCAAGCCCAAATCTAAAACGCACAAGGGCTGACTCGGTCCTTTCTCTTGCCAGGGCAGTTACTCTGACTTTAATTCATTCTACACTACTGTTTCTTTTCAACTTGGACTCTGTGTGTTCTGGATGAAACATTTGGATTTATTTTTTCCAGCTTGCCTCTGCAAAACACAGCCAGTATCGACCAGCGATGCTCGTCCTCACACTTTTGTCTGCCAGCCGCCCACCCCAAATGCCGCTGTGCCCGTGGGTCGCCCAAGACTTGTTTTCAGGAGTCCTGCCTGTGGCAGCTTTTGGATCCATATGGCACAGCGGCATGCAGCACCCTGCAAACCCCACACCACTCTGTGTTCTTTGGATTTATTTGGTGGAAGGTTGGGGTTGTGTCGTTTGGTTTCTGGGGGTTGTTTGTGGGTTTGGTTGAGGGTTTTTTTGGCATTTTATTTTCTGCCAGTGAAGAGAAGGAGGGCAAATTGTGAGAAACAAGTGAAAGAGGAAGAACTAGTGCTCCAACTGTTCCTTCTGCTATCGCTTGTCAATAGGTTGTTTCTTCAGGGTTCAGCTCTGACTGCAGCAGGAACAACTCACATTTCAGTAGATTTCACTTATTTCCAACAAGGAAGGCTAAAAGGAGGGCATCTTGCTTCCCAGGACCTAGCCTAGCTCCCAGCTGCCTGCTTTGTGGTCTGTGGTCTCAAAAGAAGGAAACAGGACCCAGCCACAAGGTCTACCTTTGATTGGCAGCCTGCTCTCACCGGGAATGCAGAAGCACTCCCACCTCGGAGTTTGGTTCTGCCTCACCTCCTGTGAAGCAGTTCACATTTTCACTGAAAGAGAGAGAGAAATGAGAGTAAATAGTGGGATTATTTTTATTTCATGAAGCCCCAAAGGGTTGCTTTTTTCCAGCCAGAATTGGCTGGCTCCTATTTTGTCAAAGAGCAGGCTGGCAGCAATGATGTCCATGAGGGATGTGGCTTTTGCTTTTATAAAGTCAAGTGAAAGACCTGATAGAGGGGACATGAACCAGCACGAGTGCTTGTGGCCATGAAGCTTATATTGGTAAGGTAAAATTACATTAGCATAAGTAAGTGCATTTTTGCTGATATAAGATGACTCCCAACAAAATCCTACTACTGGAGACTAAGCTAAAGTCTGCAGCCACAAGGTCTCTCATAATCTGGAGCAGGAAAGTGATAGGGAGCAGAAGAGGCACTCTGGAAGGCAGAAAAAAGACTACAAGTTTCTTCCAACACTGACCATTTAAGTGTTAAATGCTGCTGCAGGCCATCAATGGCCTGCAGCAGGACTCCAGTGCTGAAGTCCAGCCATTATTCTGTCCCCAACAAAATCAATTAAAGAATTGTCATTTAACTGAACAGGCCAGCTGGCTTAAAACAATCTAGAGACAAGCTGGGAATAATCTCCTGCAAATCTGCTGGGGCCAGAAGAGGAGCTTGGTAGGTAATGCCTAAAGCCCCTCACCCTTCTTTCAGCCCTTTTCACTCGCTAGAGGAATGTCCCTGGATCACAGGACCTGGTACAGAGTCCTCCACCATGTGAGGTGATAAACTCTTTTGACTAGAAAAGTATCCTGTCAACCTAAAACAGCTTGCTTGGATACCTGTACCCACTGTTTGCGTTTTGGAGCTGTGCTGCAGCCAGTGTTAAGAGTATCTGTTAGTATCAGTTTGATGCCCCATCCCTGGATGTCTTCAAGGCCAGGCTGGATGTGGCTTTGAGCAACCTGGTCTAGTGGAAGGTGTCCCTGCCCATGGCAGGGGGGTTGGAACTAGATGATCTTTAAGGTCCCTTCCAACCCAAACCATTCTATGATTCTATCATTCTTTCTGCTGTCGATGTAGCTTAAACCGCAGGGCCTATTACAGCAGCTTTAGATACTCCCCCTTTCAGCTGCCTATGGTGAGCCTACACGTGTGATTATCTTGCTGCCTGACTTGAAGGAGTCCCCAGTGTTACTACACTCATGTTGCGGGTAGAAGGAGCATGCAGCAGGAGAGTCTATGCATGCACATCTACCTGCACTTCCAGCCCTGGCCCAAGTTCTGCTCTGTGGGCCGCTGGCAGCAATTAGGGGCTCACAGGACCCCATTAGGAATGACAACTGCTTGTGCCAGCGATCCCCAGGAGAGCAAGTGACCCTTCCACTCTTCCCCACCACCACTGAGGATCTGCTCTTGAAACCGCTCACCAGTGGGCCAGCCCACCTCCCCCAAGCCCACAGGGAGCCCCCGCAATGAAGCCAACCCTACCCAGGTTAGATGCCCTCTTCCTCCAGGTCCGCGCTGAGAGCCCTGTTCTCCTTGCGAATGGAGCAATTATCTTTTATTCATAATTAGAGCCAAGTCTCCTAGAATAATCACAGAGCGCTAATGGCTCCAGGCAGGTTGGCAAAAAGAATTAATTTGGGCTAATTTGTCAGGTACTGGGGAAGTATGCAATGTAACGCATGCGTCATTTACTCGGCTTGCAGGGTCTCCGTTATGCAGACAGTTTGCAAGGCCTCTGAAGCAGGGGCTTCTCTTTGCTTGAGACACATGATCTCCCTAAAGCAACATCATGGAAACAGAACAAAATAAACTATCGACTGAAAAGGCAGCTACACATTGATATTTGACATGTTAAAAGCAATTAAAACCTGAACTTTATACTGCTTTATAAGAGCAAGCTACTCTGCACGTATTTTACTCCCTTCACTAGTACAAATATGATACTAATTCTGGGAAAATGGGCATCCAAAAGTCTAAATGAATAAACAAAGTACCTGAAAATCAATCGAGTTGAACAAAACAGTCATTAGTATTAAAGTCTTGTTCAAATACTTGGCAGAGGACTGAGCTAACATTTGCAGGCCTATAGAACTGAAGTGATCAATCAAATTACAAACCAAAGAAGCAAATGTGAGGTAAACTGCATTTTATGCATCTGTGTCTCTGACTGTGTATTCATTTTTTTCACCCATAATTCATCTTTACTCAGCCTGACTTGTCACAGAGTTACTGTGGGCAATTTATCAACCACTTGAGCATGAACTCTAAGCACCGTTCTTCTCCTCCCATCTCCCCCAGCCTCCTCATGCTGCCTCAAGGCACCAGGCAAGCTAAAAAGGAAGGCACAGTTGGGGTAGAAAAACTGTTTTGTTGGTAGAATTCCCTTATTCCTGGTGAGAAACAAATATACCTTAACAGAAAGGGATTTAACTACCACCCAGAAGGGAGAGAGTTTGCTTGAGCCACTCACTCAGAGGAACAGTCTCCAGGCCACGCAAATGAGAGTCCAAATTTGGTTTTAAAAACAAAACAAAAAAAAAACCACCCATCTACAGTTGATTTCCTTGTAGAAAGTGCAGCTGCCAGAGCTGTTGCTGGAGGTGGAAGGAGTCAACAGCTTGGTCCCACACCTGCTCTGAGGGATGGGAAGAGCTAACCAAAGATTTGACAGCAACCCCATGAGTAAAAGCATGTCCTCTCCGTTTGACAAACCAAACATTTTACTACAGATTTTCTAATTTCTGCATGGGAGTCACCCCAGTTTAAGCAGCCCCCATCTCCAGAGTCATTAGCCTAGCTCACTGTGCAGCCACAGAGAGTCCATCCCTCTCTTTAAGTGCAGTTCAAGTCACAGACAAGGTCTCTGTTGATGTTATAAGTGCAGGGAAGGGAAAAAACATGCAATTACCAAGGCAGAAAATGCTGGAGACTACTGAATGATTGTGGGGTGAGTAAAGACCTGGCAAATATTAAAGGGACAGTTCACAGTAAGGTAGCTCTGGCGTACCTCGGGGAGGGGCGAACCCATGAACTGTTTTGCCAGTTCAGATGCAGAATTTCTGAAGGAATCCATCTGATGAAGTTCAGGCAACATCCTGGTTGAGTCAAGTCAGTGTGGGCCCTCTCCGCTGCCCACACTCATTCTCCTTCAGCCCTGCCTGGTTGCACACCCACATATCTCTATGTTGGGGCATAGTAGTCATATGGGGGACACACCTGCTATAAAACAAATGTTATTGCCTTTAAGGCAAGTGATTCTCCAGGCTTTAATATTGTCAGAACTAAATCCACATGGAGATAAACCACAACTCATTGAAACCCATTAAAGGCTCTGACTGATTTCAATGGCTCTTGGATGAGGCCCTCAAACATGTCCTACCCATCCAGGTGCAGGAAAAAAGATTTCCAAAAATAGAAGCCTAAGGTAATCACTTGCTTTTCGACACTGCCAGACAACCACCATCACTCACAGGTTTCAGTGTGACCAGGACCACATGATGACCGTGAAAAACAAACATCCCACAACTAAAAATATCCCCAAACAAACTGTATCTGTTTAGACACCTATGCAGAAATGAATGTGTCCAAGTAGCAAAGGCCTTGGACATGCAATCAAGTTACCATGGCACCGCAAGCAACTGTGATTCTCCCCCTCTACTGCACTCTTGTGAGACCCCACCTGGAGTGCTGCATCCAGCTGTGGAGCCCTCAACATTAGAAGGATATCGACTGGTTGGAGCGAGTCCAGAGGAGGCCACGAAGATGATCAGAGGGCCGGAGCCCCTCTGCTATGGGGACAGGCTGAGAGAGTTGGGCTTGTTCAGCCTGGAGAAGAGAAGGCTCCGGGGAGACCTTATAGCACCTTCCAGTACCTGAAGGGGCTACAAGGAAGCTGGGGGGGACTTTTTACAAGGGCCTGTAGTGACAGGACAAGGGGTAACGGGTTTAAATTGAAAGGGGGGAGGTTTAGATTGGATATCGGGAAGAAGTTCTTCCCGGAGAGAGTGGTGAGGCACTGGGACAGGTTGCCCAGAGAAGCTGTGGATGCCCCATCCCTGGGAGTGTCCAAGGCCAGGCTGGATGAGGCTTTGAGCAACCTGGTCTAGTGGTAGGTGTCCCTGCCCATGGCAGGGGGGTTGGAAATGGATGATCTCTAATGTCCCTTCCAACCCAAACCATTCTGTGAGTCTACAGTTCTATATACATCAAAAATATGGCAGTAACTAAATATGTGTCCAGCCTGCGGCAAGAGATTATGCATGTTAGATCAAACTTCCTGCACTACAGAATAACCAAGTCAAACAGCCCTGCATTTGTAGCAGGTAACTACAACCTACACAGGCTGTCCCAGCAGATCAGGCAATGCGGGGATAACTTGTCATACCCTGGTAACGTGGTGGTATAGATGAAGCTTAACTAAGTATCTTGTTTAAGGTTTTTGTGCTGCTTAACACTAAAGTCTAGAGAAAGCAAGGTTTTATTTTCCCTGCTCCTCTTCTCTGACCTGGACTGGTGCAAGACAATTTGGCCCTGTAATTCCCACTTTCCAACAACCATGTTGTTGATGGTCCAAACAGCTAACGTGTTATATACCTTCCATTCAAACAGACATTTTCTAAAGTGTTCATGCTCCAAATGTTGGAAGATTATTTCCCAGACTATGCATGTGCACTGGAAGCCTCCGTACTGATCAGTTTCAGCTTTAAAAGACCTTCCACGATCAGTAGCTTTGAAACAAGTGGAAAACCAACTCACCTTTGGAGGAGGGTAGAGGTGACAAAGCGGTTGTCCTGGATCCTGTTTACACAGCTTCAAGGAATGGCAGACCACATCGGCATTCATTTCCCTGTCTATGCTGAAGGAAATGGTGCATAAATAAAGACTATTATGTTCTTCTGGGTGCATGAAAGTAGAAGCTATTTCCATGGGAAGCTAAATCTCCCCAGTGACAAACAATAACCTCAGCTCGCTTCACCGTGGCCTGTAATCGCTGCTCAGTACAGCGTCAGGTCCTAACGATTTTCTGCCACAGCATCCTACTCAGCATTTAAAATTGGATCCTGGGATGATGAAAAAGCACGGTGCTTTATATGCAGCACCCAAATCAAATACATTATGAATGTTCTGTTTTTTAATCAATCATAAGTCTGACAAAGATTTAAAGGTTAAAGTTAATGCACATGCAATTCGGCACATATGAATGTTCAATCATTAACTCAAGAAAGTAACCAGAAATCCTTCAAAGATCCTTAACCTTTAATCACCAAGCACAAGCTCTAGGATTGTTTCTTTCTTTTTGGGACACACCTCTGGGCTAATTAGGAATTAAATTAAAATGTTTGATTATAGCACTTCTTAGTCCTGTAAGCACTTTGCAATCCCTTGGCTAGCTTTAAAAATAAAAATAAAAACCCTAGGGAGGAAGAAGGTCTAGCAAAAGCCCTGTTAATTAAACTAAGGACTTTCAAAGAGGAATAAAATGACCTACATTTTATTTTTTTAATCACTTACATTACTTAGTAGGCTTACCCAAGAGTGTGTATCAAGGCTGTGAGCAGGGGCTGACAATTAGAAAGCTTGATTAAAGGTAGAAGGGAAAGCAAGAGCCAACTAGTACAGGGGGATGACTCTGTAGAACCTGTCTTGCACACACAGGTTATTCATATTCCTCCCTCAGCCAAACGAGCTGAACCTCAAAACATTAATTACATCAGGTGGGCCTGATCTGAGATTCAAATGGAGTATGAAAACAGTTACCAGTGGCAGCCTGTGTTTATTCACTCAGAAATAGCGGTGCCAAATGCCAAACCAGAATCACTCTCAAGCATCTCTGCTTTAATAATAACGTGATCTTAAGAATGAAACTCCTGCACTTCAGTCCAACAGCAGCTCTGCACACGTCAAGAACAAACTAAGCAAAGGCCTGAGAGGGCACAGCAATACTTACAGTTCAGCTATGTGTGGTCCGTAAAGTTCAGCAAGTATGTAACAGAAACCTTGCAGGTTTTCTAGAAAACATATATATATATATATATTTAAGTAATTGAGCACAATGAAACTGGTTTTATAACAGTCAAAATACAGCAGGACTTGGTTATTAAGGTGGATGCTGATTTATCATTAAGGGAAAGCATGTGAATCTATGACCTCAGTATAATACCAGAGAATGGGAAAACCCGAATTTCTAACCTTGCCTAAAGCCCTTCTCTGCCTTGAGGTGAGCCATGGGATAAAGACTAAAAGGGATAGCATTTGTTAAATGTTCTGAGTATGGCATCGTGGAAAAGTCAAAAGAAATCATACAGCATCTTCTAAGGGGTTTAAACAAAGAGATTGGTAGGTTTGCAAGAAAAAAGAAAACAAATACATAAATCAAAGTGTGGAAAGCGATGTAGGGCTTGATGCTACTGCTAGAGCTGCCTCAGAGCTTCTGGGGTTTGTGTGAGTTAAGAGAACGTGTTTTGTGTAGAGTAGGAGTTGCGCAGGAGTAATTGCATTCAAACAAATATCTGACACTTCTGTTTGGCTTCCTTTCACAGTCTGCAGCCGTGTGCCTTTTCGGGATGCTGGCTCAGGTGGCTTGCTTTAATCTGGGTGAAGCATGCTCTCCGTGCCCTCCAGAGGACAGCTCATCAGAGATTTCTTTAAGGTAGTGTTGTAAAAAAAAGTGGTCTCTGCACCCGAGCAAAGCCACTTTCTGGAAAGATGGGGGATTTGAATACAGGTAAGGCATGATGGTAGCACTGGTCAGATAGTTCCCATGAAAGAAAATTGACTGTTTCTTGGCTTGACCAGACGAGAACTGGTTAACCATGCACATCTCCTGCATAAGGGGTGTCAGGCTGTGTTTTGGCAGGGGTGGTGGTGTGAAAAGTCATGAAGAGGTAGATTCATACAAATGCAGTGATAATAAACTTCCAGCTCCTGAAATTCCTGAGAGATGTTGTTTTCTCTTGCACCTCCATTACCCAGGCAGATAACTATCTGTGCTTGGGAAAGAAAACATCGAGTATCCTCATCTTTCACAAAGGAAAGCCTTAGAAACCACCAAAGCAGCTGCTTCCCTCCAACTCTGGGCTGAATATTCAGTTTTAACCAGCGTCAGGCTGGACATGCCCAGGGCCAGGGGCATACAAGGTGGGTAGTTTTGCTCTGGGGAAGGGACAAAACCTTGCAGCGCTGACTCCATCAGCAGGCATGGGTGTGCTCTCGCTCCCACAGAAGCTCTCCTGCCAGGTCTGCAGAAGTCCCTGCTGGCAACCTGCCCCCAAGAAAGGAGGACTGGGACCAGAAAGGCATAGCAGGGAATGAAAATATAATTTCCTCAACACCCTCCTACTCACACAGTGTTGCAGGCAGTTTCTGTAACTACGACAGCTGATTTTTCTTATCCTATGCCAGGTGTTTTATTTCAATCAAGTTATTAGCTTCATTTCTTTGCTTCCTTTGCAACGTAACTCCTCTCTAGAGTTGGCTCTTTAGAAGCAATCTGCAAGTTAAAAAATTGGTTCCTGGCTAGAATTAGAGTTTATTCTTGTTCAACTAAAAGGAAAGACACCGCAGACATCAACAACACTGCATTTGGTATCAATGCTGATTAAAACACCCTCTGATGAAGCCGGTTCACAGGGCACCTGGCTCCCTTTATTATCCCACAGGAGAAGGTGGCTGGCTTCCTCAACACTTTCCCTGTGCATCACAACATGGTGTCTTTATGATATTCCCAAACCAGTGGGTTTTCATTACATTTCTGGGCCTGGGGGAGCCAGCTGGCTGCTGTAACTTGTACCGGTGGCTGCGAGGAGGGGAGGGTTTGGCTGGCCATCACCTCTGGGGAGTTGATGTTGGGGGTCTCCTGGTCACACTGATTTCTAGGTGCTGATTTCCTTATGCATATAGGATGTTTGACATGTGAATACCCCATGGTGTAACACATGATGGGTGATAAAAACAACAGCAATAACATAAAATCATTGTTGAGTGCACAGAGTCCTCTTGGAAGATGCAGATGCCATTCAGGCTTCGGCTTCCAGAAAAACAGACCCAAGCCACGGGCACTATTTACAGGACTTGCCCTCCGAGTCAGCCTGCATTCATGCATTCACAAACCTCCAGCTCTGCTAACACACCCAAGGAGAGGATATTGCAAAAAGAAAGGTCTGGTAGGAAGAAGCTGCATATGTCAGAAAGGAGGGGAAGAGAAAGTGAGAGAAAACAATGAATAACATTGAGGGTTCAGGGGCAAGAGAAGGGCTTAAACCAAACTAGATGCTAGAAAATTTAGAGAAAATTTATGCTTGCTTTTGCCCTGCTTCAGATAAAAGAGATCCCCTGAACCGCCCTGTTCTTATGTGATAAAAATCCAGAAGTTTTCCTCTATAGCTTCATAGTCCTAGAAACACAAATTCTGGCTGAATCCCAGAGGATAAATATTTGCAAGAAAGATGGTATTAATCGTGTTTCCATTTCCACTCAAGCTCTAAGTTGTTTACACAGCAGTGGCCGACACAGAAACAGAGCGTGACTCAGAGGCAATGCCAGAGGCAGACGGTCTCAAAGCACATTTCAGGTATGAGACACCTCTGTTTCATCAGGCAGACAGCCAGCATCCAGATAAACACACATTCTTGCTAACAGCATCCCTTACATCATAAATACTGCCCATTCCCCCAGACCTGGCCTTTCTGTCTGCTCGAGAGCCTCCTCCACCGTTCCTATTTTCATAGGATTATTGGCCACGTCGCTTGAATCACACACACTGCAAATGTTCCCATATAAATAAGGATGTGATTGTGTTTTCTACACAGCCTATGGGATTGAGTGGATTGATGGGTACTGAATTTTCCCCTCTCTCTTTCTCTAAACGTCTTTTTTTCTTGAACTTCGTCTAACTTCAGTGAACGCTTGATCCAAACCCAACTTGATTATGATCAAAATTATAGGAAGCCCTTCAAAAAAACCCACACGAGTTCTTCTTCCCTTGTTCTCCCAAGGGAAAGTCCCACTGTCATTAATCTGTTGCTGTTATTCTTGCAATCAGTTGTAGGCATGTGTATAATATGCAATTGTTCCTTCAGGTGAAATGGCACAGCCTGCTTTAGTAGGTTAGCTCCTCGTGATCATCCAAAGCTTTCCCATTGTTTCAAGCAGCAAGAAGAAGCTGTTGACTGCTGCCAGGCTGCAGGGTTCACCTCCCGGGAGAGGATAAATTGGGTTACACTGTAGCTCCCACACAATCCATAGGATTTTTCACTCCTTTCAAGTTCAAGTTCAGGGTCAGGTTATTTTCTATTGGGTGTACCCATGCATCTCACAGAAGGTAACTGGATTATGCAGACTTAACAAAAGGGATAATAGGATTTTATGTGTGTAAAGAATGGCAGCTGCAAAGAAATATCTTGACATGTCAGCGGAACAAGGTCCACTGAGTGAATCATGAACATAAAGCTAGCATGTCATATTTTAAAAAAGAAAATTGTGTTTTAATAGCAGGATCAGCGCTTCTAATTGTAACTTCACGGTTATGTGCCTGTAATTTAAACCACTGAGGATATGACTTATGGAATAGAAATCAGATAAGCATCATTCTATCAATGAATGAATCACGACAATTACCTCCCTGCCCCATTCGGCATCAGGAAATCGTCTCTTGGAAAGGAGGGAATTAATATTCTACACGCATCTTCTGTGAAACTAGGGTCTATAGAGCAAGATGTTTTCTCAGAGATACAATTTGTGAAGTCCTATAAAAAAGACTTTTAAACGAAGTATCCTAAGCCATCTTTTTACATTCACGGCGTTAAAACGATATCATGAGCGTGAGATCTAGTTACTTTAATAGTTGTAGGATTGGTCTGTGAGGCATAAAGCTGTTCTGGCATTCAAACTGTTCCCTGTTTAGGGATACAGATTCAGACAGCTAAGCTCCTTTGGGCAGACAAAATAAGGGGCATAAAAATGGGAGTCTACATATATTCACACGGAATAGCTATTGCTTTTGAAATATGTACCATCAATTACATTTCACTAGCTTTTCTGTGCAGACCAAATGCTCACATCTCACACTTGTCAACTGCAGCTCATTTTTGAGATTTTACAATAGCGGCTTCCTGTATCTGCTGAAAACATTTTCATCTTCACAGATGCTCTAAAGACCCATATCAACAAGAAAGAGGAGTGGCTGGGCGTACAGTGATTCTATTCTTAAGCTGCTAACAAAGAGACAAATGGAGAAAAACTGAGGGAAGCAGTCTGTATGTGTTGGTGCTCACATGCATGTGGGCTTAATACAACCGCTTACATTCTAAGTTTGGGACAAAATCTCAGCTCTAAAGCCAAGTGAGCCACGCCACTGACTTCCCTGCAGATAGCACCTTGCTATGTTTCAGCGACGTTCATTTGAGATGCGGCATGAGAATCGGATACAGCTTTTTCAGACTCCGCGTGTGAATTTTTAATTAACAGAGAGATGCAGCAGTACCGACATAACATATGGCATATTATTTGGTACTTACCAGGTATGTAGTTGCACAGTCTCTCCATGGCTGCCTTTACCGTGCTGTTGTGCCACTGTGCAAGCTGTTCAACTACAGACACCACAAGCACGCATCCTTCAAGCAAACAAACAAGAAGAGCGAATACGGTTATCTCTGAAGTGTGATGAAGGACCCCACGCCGTAGAAGTATTTCGGGCATAACTGGGCATTTCATTTCTTGAGATGCTCCATGGCGGAAGAGTGTTCAAGGGGAAAAAAATATCTGTGAATTTCTGGTTTTATTCAAAACCTGTAAGTTATCACACAGAGGATGCCAATGCCAGAGGAGCAAAAAGAACAGCCCCGGATGTTGCTCCTGAGAAAACGATTTTCCATCCTTTCAAGGATGAAAAACAAAGAGCCCGGGGGACAGCCACTGTTAGAACTGCCTGCTTAGCCACCTGCTTGCTCATTTCTCACAAGAACAAAGGCACAGGTCTGTACTCGCCAGGCCTCCTACACCTCTCCACAAGCCACACAGAGAGTTACCGAAACTGAAAAACAGAGGGTGTGACTGCCTGCAGAAGACACATCGCGAAGCAGACATATGTGCTGACCACCACAAAGCATCCCTGGCATCATTTCCTCACAGATTTTCCTCCGAAGCCCAGGGGTGCTTGGCACGCACAGGGCTGCTGGGCCCAGCTATGCATTGCTAAAGCCAAAATGTCTTCAGAGTTCATTCTGTTCTCCTTCTGTGGTTGGGAAGAAACCATTTGCTATATCCTACGAAGCTGCTTATTTCTCATCACTAGCCTGGGGGCGAGCAGGGCTAAAGCCTAGTTGCTCCTTGAACTAGCTGTGGCTGAGATACAAGAACTTGCACACCCTAGGAAAGCATTTCTTGAGATGTGCAGCACTGTTCTGTGATATTTTTGGGAAGAAGTAGGTTCAATGTGGTCCCCATACAGCAATCATTCAAAATCCATGTGATGTCTATAAGTTTGTTTCAAGTTGATTTTAAATTGCTGTAGGCCAGCACTGTGCTCTCTCTCTCTGCAGTGGCTTCACCATTCTGTAAAGAAGCCGCATTTGGTGATGCAAAGTCTGACCAAAACAGTCAGACAGAGTGAGGTCCCAGCCTTTACTCAGAGCCTGTGTAACAGAGGTAGGTAACCCAGGCAGCCAGGAGACAGGGAGCTAGGACACCAGTTTCCAGCAGCCTGAATAAAGATTCCTCTTCTTAATCCCTGTAGTTGAACCCAGTTTCCTTCCTGCTGCAAGAAATCTTAGCTCTCAGAATTTGCTCTGACACAGTCTAGTAATGGAGGTGAGTCGGAGCACTTGGATGCGGATGCAGATCCATCTTTTTCCAAAGCTTAGGAGTATTAACGTTTAGGGTGTTCAGACTGGCACAACTCTTCAAAGTGAGCTCTTAAATACTTTCCAAGTACCTCTGCCTATGTGCTATTAAATCAAAGTGCTGGTTTTCAATGTAAATAACTTTGACGCTCTTATGGATCAAGTGGCAAGTCAAAGAGGAGGTAATACACTTGGAACTAACTGTAAGACCAATATATTTGAGTCTTCTATTACTTCTTGTACCCCAAATACAGTAATCCAGTGGAAATTACAGTTCACTTGCCACCTCTTTTGCAGGGATAAAAGCCCACTTCTCCATACTTATTAAATAAAACGCTCACCCAAAGTCCTCTGCAGAATGAATTATAAAGCATGCTAAGAGCCATTACCTCTAGTCAGCCTAAAAGAATAGGAGAATAAATGGACACAGGCACAACGAATCAAAAACCCTGAAGAAAGTAATTCCTTCTTCCCTCTCTGCCCCCTCCCCATAAAACAGCTATGTGTTAGCCCAAAGAATTAACAGTTAATTAATACACAATAGCTCATAAAGAAGAAAAAAAAAAAGTGGAATAATAAAGAGCAAAACTAAAACTGAAGGGGACATCCAAGCTGGAGGGCAAAGCGTGCTCAGGACTTGGCTGGAGGAACAGCCCAGGGCCATCTGGTCCCTGTTTAACCACTAGCAGGTGCCTTAGCACAGCCTTATCCCATGCCATGCCGCAGGCAATGCTTGCAAAAGGAACCAGTCCCCAGAGCACATTTAGACAAGGCTATCCAGTCAAGGGAAGGGGAGTTGAGGGGTGCAAGAGATTTCAGCAGTTTGGGTGCAAGCCATGCCCTGCACTGGCCTCAGAGACAGAAAACAGACCCTGGCTTATTAGCAAGGGTAGCATGGGCACAGCCACTGGACCCACTCGATCGCTTCACACCGTGATGGCGGTGCACATCCTGGAAACACACCTAAAAGTCATTGCATAACTTGGTTCTTACAAGGCCAGATTATTACACACATGAGCAACCTACAAGTGACCAAAACTACCCTTCCCTTGCCTTCTGTTTTATTCATGAGGATGGAGGCTCAGAAAAACTAAATGTCCAGAATGACACCTTAACCATGAACCCACATACTCTTTCTGTGCCTTCCTTTCTTCTCTCACCAAGGTCAGGCCTTCATCTAACAATATTGCTGTTTGTAAGTCAGAAAGGCAAAAAGGAGTCCAAGCGGAAAGACAGAGGAGCTAGTCCTTTGTTATTTTATCTAAAGGACAACAGCTTTTGTCGGTTTACCTCTCATCCTTTTGCACCGGGAACTTGAAGGAAGCTATGAACGAGAATGTGCCAGAGCTTAGCAGACACGAGTCCAGGAATCTGGGAGGGGTGAAGATAAGGAGAGAGAAAGAAAGTCGGGAGACATGAGGTTAGCAATGTTAGCAGAGGAAAATGCTTCTGTGGGTGGAGGAGCTGGGGAAGCAGTCAGTCCCCAAAACACAGGCTGAAACAGAACTGAGAACAGGGGCAAGTGGACAACAGCAATGGAGTGGATGCCAATCCAGCTTGAGGAGAAGGATGGCCCAACCAGACTGTGAAATTGCAAGCCTGAATGGAAAGCGAGGGAAAAGCCCCCCTTGTGAGCACAGGCGTGAGCTCAGGCACAGGGGGCCAGGTGAAAACTGGAGGGATCTGGGACATCGTGCCCCTGAAGCGCAGCAACCATCACACCAGGGAGCTGACCGTGTCACCAACTGCAGCAGAGAGAAACGACGCTTATTTTGCCTGTGCTCTGTAACCCTGCGCTCCTGCACCTTCAGCCAGGGCCTGCCAGCACAATTTGCAGAGAGGACAGAGTCCTTCTCTCTTGGTCCCCAGCTCCCTTGTCCTCCTCCACTGCCTCTTCCCCCTGCCCCATTAGCTGAGCATCCCCACCATGCAGCACAGGAACGGGGGTTCTGGCTGGGGTCAACCTTCTAAAAGCACTCCCTCACGGTCTGCAGGACCAGAGGGTGCCAGGCACTGCCTCAGTGAAACTTGCAAAGTGCTGCTGGGTGGGAGTGGGACGCTGCCAGCCTCCCCCCCACATCGCAGCTTGTGCCTCCTGTGTCGTGGCAGGGCCCCTCCAGCCCCTAGCAGAAATCAACCTCTGCAGCCTCTCTGCTTTCAGTTACAGCATCCTCAGCTGCCAAAACGTCAGCTCCAACTCCGCAAGGCCAGGTTTAATTTCAGTGTAGAAACCGGCCTGATAAAAACATCGACACAAATAGTGGATGTGTGGGGTGAAATAGCTATTTTTGGTTCCACTCTGCTGAACAGAAACAGAATTCTTAATCACAAACACAATCATGCAGGTAACCCTACTCATGGAGTGGTCTCCCAGCAATTAAATGGACATTTTTAATGTTGATTAAGTCAGTTAGACACTTTTGTGTCTATCGAGCCAGGCCCAAAGGGAGATTTGCTTCGCGTGAGAATTAACAGAGCCATCACTGAGTTCGTGTAGTACTTAATGCAGTACCTCGGGCTACTAGATGGTGTATGAATATAAATAACAATAAAAATAGCCTGACTACATGGGAAAAACCCACGGAGCTGAACTTCAAAATGTTTGCTCTCATAAACTAGTCTTTACTATCACAGAAAGGATGCTTCTGGTCATGCTATTACACCCTCCCCAAATTCAAATTGCTCCCTCACAAATGCACTTATTCCAGATGAAAGGCTACATTTGTTGGGACAAACCAACGAGGAAAGTCTTGACTGACTTTCAAAAGGGTTTTCAGTTCCAACTGGGGCATCCTCAGGTGCTGCAGCTGAAGTCTCTGGAGCTGAATCGGAGGTGTCTTCTTGCCCTCTGGTGCGAAAGGTGCTTCCTGGGAACGCGTGTCACCAACGCGCACCATCAACGTACCTGGTCCCTGTTTTCCCCATCTACCTGGGCTTTTATCAGGTGCCCTTGGTCCACCTCTCTCTTTACTCCTCATGGTCTGCTGGCACCTCTTATCACCGGGCCATGGGCCATGCCCCAGGGGATGCCCGCTTATGTTCAGGCTCTGCTGGCCTCAAAGCCTTTCACGTAGACTGAAGTCATCAGGAGCAGCTTTTGGGCTGGAGACTGTAAATTACTCAGGAAAAGGGTTGCACCCTGGGAAGAGGCAGAAATGTCCAAGGGGACTCACTGTACCCTAGGGAGTCTAACCCATCCAGGCTTCCCATTTTTCTGGATAAAAACATGCCTGCCCTCGTAATTCAGATTTATCCTCTAGAAGAACCTATCTCCTGTGCTGGGCCCTAGGTAAAATCTCAAGAGGTTAGTGTCTATAAATTAAAGTTAACTCAGACTACCCTCACTCCTACTATAAACCTGCTCTCTTTTTAATCATATATATCTTCTTCCTCTGGATTTAGTGGCAGAAAAGGAATTCACTGTTGGCTGCAGCATAAGAAGCCGCTACCCTCTAACAAAAACACCAGAAATCTCCCTACACACCAAATATCATCGGAAATGCTGACCACTTACCCTAGCCTTTAATGGGCGTTAATTCTGCTGGCTAAAAATGAAAAATAATTAGTCAGCTGAAAAGGACAGAGGGAAATCATCTGGTTTTGACTGTAGAAATCTCCCTGTTTTAATTACTTATGATGTGTGCAAGAATATAAACTTTTTAATACTCTGGCATCAGTAAAAAGCATTTCCAGATCTGGACAGTCATTAGCAACTATTGCTTGCTTTTAATTTAATAGATATTTAGATGCGATTCATTTCTCACCACGAGCTG